ATAAATGAATGAGCACCTTGCTCCTGCACAGGCTCCTTTGCCCTGCTCTTTCCCTATCATCTCTTCCTCTTTCTTCCCCTCCCCTCTTTGCTTCTCTCTTGCTCCCAGGGCTTCTCATCTGCCAGAGTTGTCCTGGATGCATGTGGGCTCCATAAAAGCCACTGATCTCAAGTCTAGGAGCTTGGCTCTGCCTCTGGCTTTGTCGCTGAGAGCCTCAAGCAGTCCAGCCTCCTTCAAATTTGAGTCCATCTAGTGGTTTAGAAATTAAAGCTAAAATCTCCTGAGCCCTGCTGGCACAACCTCCCAGGGGTTCCTGCTTTCTCAGTCCCTGCTGGGGTGGTGGGCCCAGGATGGATTGGATGCTGTGTTCCACCCAGGCATGTGGCAGAGCAAGAGCCAGCCTCATTCATGGCTCGCCTCTGCAACTGCTTTGCCTTGTGAGGTTAGGCTGGTTGCTTCACTTCTCTGGGCCACCAGCTGTACAGCGGTGTTTGGATTTTGATCATTTCCTAACCCCTTCCCAGCTCTGACATCTTGTGTTTGAAGTGACTATGCACCAGAGTCACACGGCTTCTGTCCCCTCCGCTCCAGGCTCCCCTTCACTCCCCCTGTGTCTGTCTTTCTCTTTGATGCATCTCCTCCTTGCGTGTGTGGAAACTGCAGAGGAGGGAGGCAGGCAGGCCCCAGACCTTTTGTCCCTGCCAGGCCCCTTCCTTCAATGGTTCCCCAGAGTTTTCAAGTCCAAGTTCAAACTCATTAACTCAGCACACCGGGCCTTGATTCTCAGAGCACGGTCTCTGGAACCACCAGCATCAGAACCGCGCTGCCTCCCCGACATGCTAACAGGGAAAACTCTGATTAAGAAGGTCTGGGAGGGGTCCTAGGAATTGGCCTCTGTAATAAGCACCCCAGGGGATTAAACAAAAATGTATTGGTGGTGATGGAGGGTTAGGTCATACTACACGGGTAAACAGATCCAAACAGTAGAAAAAAACCCGTGTGCTGAAATTGTCCCCCTGCCACCACTCAGGCCCCTCCCTGGAAGCAACCACAGTCACTGGGTCCAGAGAGAGTGCATTCAGAGCACATATGTACAGAGGCAAGCTCTTGAGCACAGGGACAGGCCAGGGCGTCCTGCAAGCCCAGTAAAGCCAGAGAACGCTGCACCAGGGCCTCTGTGATGTGCCCGATCACCTCTCCGACCTCTGCCAGCACCCTCACCTGAAGCCCCTGCCCCGCTGCAGCCTTGCTGAACTTGCCGGGGCTCAGCCGCTGCGGGTGCTGCTGCCGCCGTCAATGTGCATGACCTCATGTGGTTCTCTGCCCAGAAAGTCTTTCTTCCTGTTTTGCTGCCTGGCCAATGCCTATTTATCCTTCAAGACTCAGCTCAAGTGCCTCTTCTTCCAGGGAGCCTTCTAGCTGTACCCTGTGCCCCACACTCTGGCTTCTCGGCGATTCCACACTCCCTGTTACCAAACGGGTCATGCTGAGTGGGCTTTCCTCTTTCTGTTCCTTCACTGGACTGTCAGCTCGCTGTGCTGCTAGGGGCCTTCTTGTTCCCTCTTGAGTTGCTGAGTCCCAGTACAGCGTACATAGTACATAGATGCTCAGTAAATGGTGGTTAATGGATACCTAGACAGCAGGCATTCTGGCTCATTCTTGCCCTTTTCATTTTAGAAATCTAAACCACAGTGAGCCTCTCCACCTTCTTGTGCTCCAGAAGGGGCTGGTGGAGGCGGAGGAGAGGACTCTGTGTGGAAGGCCAGAGAGAGGACACTCTCTTCCAGAGTTACAGGCAGGAGGTGGCCCTCGACTCCTGAGCATGCAGGGCTGAGGGGACTCAGAGGACGCTCACACTGCTGGGATGGGGAGACCCAGCCCCAAGTTTCTTTTTGGCAGCTTGCCCTGCCGGTGGCCGGTGGGCAGAGCCGGGCTTGGCAGAGCATTTCTGGCAGAAGCAGGGTGACAGGCCTGCCTCCTCCCAACCCGTGCTGGGGGAGCAGGTGGCCCGGCTGTAGGGAGGGGGTAGGGAGATCCAACAGCGGGAGGGGCATGGGAGAAGAAACTGAAAAAGCAGAGTGGGGGCTGGGGGTGTGTGGCTGGCCTGGCAGTTGTTTAAGGAGTAAATGTGCTGGGAACGCTAATGAGCTGCGTTCATTCATGGCGAGCTGCTTCCCGAATTGGGGAGCCGCCCAGGCTCTGGGCTGGAGGAACTGGGGATGGGAACCAAGTTGGGGAGCTGCCTGGCTGCTGGGGTAGGGCCTCCCATGACGGGCTGGCGGGGGGAGTCTCTGTCCTGGGTCTGAGGGGGCCCTCCTTCCTTCCCCCCTTTAAAGGAAAGGCCAGGCTTTGCCAGGGGTGACAATTTGGCTCAAGGCCTTCTTGGGATTCACCATGCTGGGTAGTCTGGAAGCTTCTAGGGCCGTGGCTGGCTCTCAGGAGCCACAGGCAGCGGTGATCTTGCAGCCCCCTGCCTGCTCCCACCCCTCCTCCCACCCCTTCTCCCACCCCTTCTCCACACCACTCTGAAGCCCCCAGGGCATGTCGCCCAGTTAATCAACACTCCTTCTTCCCCACATGGGTCCTGGCTTCCGAGGAGCCTCCGAGGTCATGGGGCCAGGGAGGCACCGCTGGAGCAGAAGGTTGGAGAGCAGACATCTTCGACAGTCTGAGTGCCGCCTGTGGCAGGCCTACTAAGCGCCAGGTGCTGGGTTAAGTGCCAAAGGGAGGAAGTGAGGAAGCCACGGGTTGGGGGTGGCAGGCTCTGCCTCAGGAGGAGAGTCAGAGAAGGAGCCACATGCGTAAACAGAGCTCCAGCTAAGAGGGGTAAACAAAGCGCCGGGCCGCTCCGAGGCAGGAGGGCTTAACTCTACCCGAGGCAGCTGGGGTTGGGGGAGTGGGAGAAAGGGGGGCTGAGCACCCAGGGAGGAGGATAGGGAATTTGAGGGAGAGGGGTAAGCAGGCTCCTGCAGACCACAGACCTCTGGCTGGTCTGTGGAAAAATTCTCTTAGATGACATCTGGGGACCCCTGAGAAAGCCGCTTCTCCCTGGATCATCATTGAATTGATGCTGAAGGACGTGAGGCCCTGGAAGGAGGTCATGGACAGGAGTGTATGAAAACTTTCAAAAGAGCCATCAAAAGCTCATAACACCAGGCACATTAGTTGCGACATCCTGGCCGCAGTTCTATCTGTGCTATGACAGTGGAGACACTGTAAAATTTTCATCAAGATGGAAAATAAAAACAAAGAAAAACCCTGAGCGTTTTGGTACCTGGTGGGTGACAAGGCTCTAACCTTGTGGAGCCTGTCAAGGCCGCACCATCGCCTCCCACAAACTGGGTCCTGCTGTGCCCACCCTGGCACCTTGTGGACCAGCTGCCTTTCTCTCTGGTTTCTCCCTAGGGGAAACCCGGGCTGTCAGCTCCTCTGAGGGGAGGTGTTTCTTGAGGGGCTCAACTGTTTCTTCTCACCAGGCTGTCAGCAGCCTGGAATCAGGGCCCTGGCTGATGGACAAAGGATGTCTGGGTTGTCCGGAGCACAGCAGGCCACCGCTGTCCTCGATCTGGAGGAGGTCCTTATATTTTCTGGGTTGAGGATAATTCTTCCCGGCCCTGGATTTCCCATTCACTCTCATGGCCACACCTGCCTTCGTGTGAGAAAAGTCCCTGCCCAAATGAGTGTAAGTTCAGGGTCTGATGTGGGGACCCGGGGTGCTTCTCTCCCCAGCGGACCACCCAGCCCTTTTGCAGCCCTCTCTGCAGTCCTTTGATAACAGGACGGAATAGTCGTTTTCTTCTGTTTGCACCTGTCAGAAACGGAAGACTGCTGGTGAGAGAGGGGGAAGAGTGGCTGTATTTGCAACTTCCACTGATACCCTGCTCACCACCTCCTGGGAAGCCAGCAGAGCCCAACGGTTAGAAATAACATCTCCCACTGTGCAAATGGCCAAATCAGGGCCATTCTCATTCTGGGTGCAGCTAGCTTCGTCGTTCCCCTCGGAGGAGTGGGGTTGCTGCCATCTTGGTGGACACTGTATTGAGGGAGGGGAGGAGAAATACTTGGCCTAGGACTTTCATGTTCCCCACCCCGCCACCCCCGGCTCCAACCTCGAGGTCCCAGGCTAAGTAAGGTAGGTGGCTTGGAGACAGCCACCCGGGGCACGGAGCTTCCTTTCATCAAGAATTGACAAAACAAGTCTGATGGGGCTTGGTAGCTGGTTCTGCCGTCGGAGAGAGCCTGTCTGTGACCAGCGGTCCAAGCGGCAAAATAAGATGCCGTCCTCCTTCTGGACCAGCAGCTGAGGCTGCGGGTACCGGGTGCGTGCGTCTAAGTGTGCGCATCCTCGCCGTGTGTGTGTGTGTGTGTGTGTGTGTGTGTGTGTGTGTCTCGCTGGGACACGGCAGGCCGAACCTTGCCCCCCCTCCCCCCTGCGGCAGCCCCCTGACCGCAGCCCCCTGCTCCTCGGAGGTTCCACCTTTGAAACTGTACTCTGCTCCCAGCAGCCGCCAAGTGGTGGTCGGGAGGCGGGGGCGGGGGCGGGGGCGGAGGGGTGTGTGTGGGGAGGAGGGCGGGGAGGAGTCTGGCCCTGGATGTGTGCTTTTCGATTGATGGATGACTGCCGGGTGGGAGTGAGCGTGCGGGTGTGAGAGTGTGTGATTGTACGTGTGTGTGTGCGCGCGGGGTGCGTGCGTGCGCGGGGCCTGCCCATTTTCCTCCTCGCAGCAGTCAGTTGGGAGCTGGAGGGAGGGAGGGAGACGCAGCCGGAGAGAAACCGGAGAGGAGCCGAGCGCCCTCAGCCTAAGGCGCCCTCCCTGCGTCCGCGCATAGGCGCCGTCGCTTGGAGGAGCAAGGTGCCTCCCAGCCCGCAAGGGCGCAGCGCGCAAGCCCGCGGTCTCTTCGGTGGCTCTGCCCCGGGACCGCACCTGGAGGCCTCCCCGGACGGGGATGGTAAGCGGCTGCCGCCGTCTGGCACGCGAGCGGGACGCGGTGAGGGCACCATGGCGCTGACGCCCCGGAGGGGGCCCTCGGCGGGGCTGGCTCGGCCCGAGCTCTGGCTGCTGCTGTGGGCAGCCGCGTGGCGCCTGGGTGCCACGGCGTGCCCCGCCCTCTGCACCTGCACTGGCACCACGGTGGATTGCCACGGCACGGGGCTGCAGGCCATCCCCAAGAACATCCCACGGAACACCGAGCGCCTGTGAGTATGGCCCCCAACCTCGGCCCACAGGGGGCCCCAGGTTGCCCTCCCACCCCGACGCAATTCAGGGCTGGGGGTGGAGGGGGCAGGACCGTGGGGTCCGGGCTCGGCAGCCAAGAGACGCGTCAGTGCCTGCCAGGGTCCTTGTCGAGCCAGGAGCCAGAAGCGCGACTGTTTCCCTTTCCCGGGATTCAAAGGGCCCTCGGTGGGGCTGTCAGCTCCCATCCTCACACCTGCACCCTGCGCTCAGCACCGGCAGGCCCTTCCCACTGCGCCAGCACTTTATTCCTCCAGGGTGCCTGTGAATTGGTGCCAGCAAGCCTTCCTGGCACCCGAGGGGGAAGCTCCTCGCACTCGCCAGGCGCTGTCTCCTTCTGGGCCCACGAGGCTGGGGCTGTGTTCCGCGTGGGAGGTGTGGATTTGGCTCTGAGGGCTTGCAGGCTGGCGATGGGCAGCAGGATGGGATGGAGTTGAAGTTTCTAGTCTCCTGCTTCCTCCCCATTGTTTGCCCCAGAGCCTTAAGAATTCTTCCCCTGCGGATGCCACGCATTGGTCCTCTGCCTCACATCCAGCCATCCCCAACCCAGGCAGACAATGGGACCTGAGGGAGTTGGGTTTGGGGCTTGGGGTATGTTACAGTCAGCGTCCAGAGATGGGTAGGTGTGACCTGGACCCGGAGCTCCAGGAATAATGCCAAGAAGTCAGGAGCTTGGAGTGGGAGACAGTAAGTTAAAGATATTGACCATGAAAAGTCATAAAAAACATCATTTCTCTTCCCCTGTTCTCTCTCACTTCTAAATTGGGTAAGGAAACTTGGCCCTTTCTAGACCCGCTGAGCTTTGGAGGGTGTGTGTGGGGATGGTTAGCGTGTGTTTATAGACCTATATAATTTGTTTTCCGAGATTCTCCTGCAGAATGTGTGTCTGTGAATTTCTAGTATCTGTGGTGTCATCTCAGCAGTGCGAGGCCGTGAGTCCCCGTGCATGGGCAGAGTGTGTAGATTTTTGGTCACATGCAGGGCCTTTGTGCTGCTTGCAGAGGTGGCTGCCTCCGGAGATTTTTGAACTGAACTTTGGAAAAGGCTGCTGGCTCCTTTGAAACCTGCCTCCTCCTCCCCACACTCCTGGGCCACTGCAGTGGCTCTCGGGAAAGGTGTACATATTTTGATAACTTTTGAGTACATTTCCATGTCTCCTAGCTGGTCAGAGGCAGAAATCTGACCCTGGGGAGAGCTGTCTCCTGGATCAAACTCTGTACCAAGGTCGGCAATTAGTGAGCATACATTTGCCCCAGACTATTCTTGGCTGAGTCTGGAAAAATTCCCATGGAGGTTTCAGAGAATTTGCAATCTAGACGCAATCTAGATGGCAATCGGTGTGTGTGTGTGAGCGTGTGTGAGCGCGTGTGTGTTGTGGGGCTGGGGAAAGATGCTGGCATGGGGACAGGTTGGACGGCACCATGTTTCCTTGGGGCAGCCTGTGCATTATCCTGTGTGGCCCTGGAGAGGGCCTGAGTGTCAGGATCCATCCAGAGAGCCCCTGTTGCAGGTCACCCTCCACACCTGTTCCTCCTCTCTGTTCCTTTGCCTGTGCACTGGGCATTTCTCCTGCAGCTGCTGCCCTAGGAGCAGCCTGGGTCTGAGACGCATTAGCCCCTCTCCTTTGCTTTTGGATCTGAATCTTGAAGTCACGTCATTCCTTGTTCTCTCTCCACCTTTAGTTTTGAGAACAGTGTCTGTTTGACTTTCGTGAACTCTTGAGCTCTTTTGCAATCACGGTGAGGTGGGAGTGTAATTTCCTACTGCAGAGGAAAGAGTTAGGGCTCTGGTTGCCTAGACTGGAGGCTCAGCTCAGTTAGTTATTTGCTGTGTGACTTTGGGCAAGTTACTTAACTTCTCTGAGCCTTAGTTGCTTTCCATCAGGGGCTGTTGATAGGTCAGTTCTCTGGTTCTTGTGAGGACCGAAGATAACAGAAAGGAAGTGTCTGGTACATTATGATGCTTGCTAAATGAGAGCTATTGTTGTGATACGATCAGGAGAAGAGTCTCGTTATTGCAAATGTTACAGAGCCTGGAACTGCCCTGGGTGCTGATGCTCCAGCCGGGAGTGAGCGAGTCCCTGCGCTCAGGGATGTACAGTTGAGAGGACCGGCAGGGGATACCTAACCGTAAGCTCTTAGGAGAGGGCCAGGCCGGCAGTGTGATGGGGCTGTGGGGGGCACAGTGGGCTAAGAAGCCCTTTTCTGGAGTAAAGGGGCTTCTCAGAGGATGGACCATTGTATCAGGCACTTTGGGACCCGACAGTGGTTGGGTCGGATTTTGCCAAGCAGAGAGGGCAGGCAGCCCAGACAGAGGGGACGCAGGAGCAAAAGGCCTGTGGGTACGAGCATGCCTGTCCTCATGGGCAGCTGGCCCAGCTTGGCCCCAGGCTGGAACATGCTGGTCCAGTGGGAGGTGACAGGACGCGAGGCTGGGAAGGTGGGAAGGGTCAGGAAGCCCTTTCTCTCTCTGATTCTTCCTTTGGGGGTTTCAGGGTTGGACTCCAGGGGGGAGTTATCACGGGCAGAGCGGGGGGACGTCCGATCTTTGCTGTGTGCACAACTTCTCGGATTGGCAATGATGTAGAGAGACGAGGGAGCCTGCCTTTTCAGCAGGCAGGCCTCGAAAGAGCCATTTGAAGACGAAAAGAACATCCTGAAAAGCGGCCTTGGTGAGAGCCGGGCGGGGTCAGAATAACGGTGGCAAACGCTCTCTCTAATCAATATGGGTGTCGTGCAGCATCAGAGCCTGGACCGGCGGCTCCTTCTGAGGCTGTGAAATTTTTATGGACTGCAGCTGTGCAGCCGCCTTTTGTCCTCTGGGCAGTTTCTGCGGCAGCCCGTGAGCCCCGGCAACTTTATGATCATGTGTTCCATAACTCTGGGTCCAGCCCTGTCCCCTCAAGTGGGAAGAAATTGTCATTGGTTTGCTGCGGATCTTCTGGGAATGGGCTGTGCAGGCCCCAGAGCTGGTGAGGAAATTGGTTCAGCCAGACAGGCTGTGGGGCTGGTGGGCCAGGTGGGGAAGGGATGCTGAATAATTCACGGCAATGGAAGGCCTCTGGAAGCTTCCTCTCTTCATAGGGCCAGGCTCAGAGGGATCCGGCCTTGGCCACTATTAATTGGCTTTTCTCCCACTCAAGGACATTGACTTTCAGTTGGATTTTTTTTTAAATTAAAAAATTCTTTTGGACTAGAGTGTCCAGGAGAGAGTGATGACACAGTGCAGGATGTGGGGACACTGCTTCTGCCCTCCGCCCTGGGCACTTGTATTCTAGGCCTGCTGCAGATTCCCCTTTGGGTGCAGGTGCAGAGAGGGGAGAGGCCGGGGGATGGAGAGGCGGGGAAGGGCCCTGAGAAGGCCCATGGCTTCCGTTTGTCCCCAGGCCCACCTAGCACGTTCTGCTGCTCGTCAGGCCATGGGGTTCCGCTCTCTTGTGTTCCTCGACATGTCCCCTTGCCTCCTGGCCAGTTTGCCCACTGCCCTACCTCCCTGGCCCCTGCAGGGGCCTGAGGGGCCTGTGTCTTCTCCTGGCTTGGCTCCCTGAGTCTGGAGGCTGCATTCCACAGGGCTGGGTGGTCGTGCCCAAGGAAGACTGCCCAGGGCACCCTGGGCTGATTGGGAGCCTGTTTGGAATTCCAAATAACAATTAGATGGTGGCTGTGGTGAGAAGGGTCAGGGGGCCAGACCGAAGCCATGTCTGCCAGCGGGGCTTGGCCAGCCTGAGCTCTCTGAGCAGGGCACTGTGGTCACCTACAGTGGAGACCTGCACGCTGCAGGGAGCGTTGCCCCCTGGCGGGGCTGGGTCTCCAGTATCAGGTGCACGGGGCTTATTGCTGGGCTCTGAATGACTGGTGGTAGGGCCCCAGCGCTGTCACTCCATCTGCTCTGAGACCGTGTCCCCATGGATAAAAGGGCACAATGACAGCTTTGCAGGTTGATGGCAAGGATTAAGTGAGTGAATGCGTATAGAGGGTCTGGTGGCATGCTTGGCGCATGGCTGGTGTTCTCCTGTCCCATGGCCTCTGGGGATAGTCACACTTACTACTGTATAGGGCCTTTGCCAGGATTCACTCACGCTATGTGTGTGAAAACGCTATGCTTTCTGATTCAATTAGATGATATTATTATTTTTATTATTTGAGGAGATGGAGTTAAGGGTTTAGGGGTTCAAGCAGGGCAGGAGAGTAAGCATTTGAGTGGTGGCCACGATGCAGGCTGCTCTCCTGGGTCTGGCTGCTCAGGGGGGCTCCTTCCCTGTACCTGGGCATCTTGGCACCACATCCTGGGGTTTGGAGACGGAACAGGGCGGTGCTGTGCAGGGTCTTTCTGCAAGGGGGACCGCATGATGGCATGGCTCTGGAGCCACACGGCCTGGGTTTTGTGCCCCGCTCTGCCACTCAGCAGCTGGGAGGACCTGGGGCCAGTTCTGGGGTTTCATTCACTCATTCAACAGATAGCTATCTATTGAACATCTGCATCGTGTGGAATGAATAGTGTCAGACGGAACCTGAAACCCCCTCCCTGAGTGTTAGTCCAGCAGGGGAGATAGCAATGAATGACAATATGAACATAAACGCATAATTGCAACTGGGATAAGTGCTCTGGAGGCAAGTGTGACTTTTCGGACCCCATTTCTTTGCCTGTAAAGTGGGGATGATGACAGGACCTGCTTCCAAGTGTGGTGGTGAAGATTAAATGCGGTAATGCTGGGAGAGGCACTCTGGGCCTGGCACACAGCAAGTGACCAAGAAATGGTAGTGTTATTATGGTTATTAAGGTGACAGAATTGCAGGGATGTGAAAGGAGCTTGGGCACCACTCAGTGCTGGATCCCAGGGTGGCCCTGCTCTCTCCTCCATCACCGGCAGCCACCGGTGCTCCGCATCCCCTGGGCACCCTGGAGCCCGCGGAGTCGGGGCTGCCCCTTCCCGGTGCCCCCTCGCCGGGCCGGGGGCTGGCTG